GCCTTCATCGCTTGCCACCGGGCCATGTGGAAAAAGCTGCGTAAGTTACAGGCGATTGGCGCCTTCCAGCCGCCCCCCCCGTCCCCTCCCGCCTCGGTCCCCGCCGGGGGAGCAGGTAACGCTGCCAGCCCGCGGCCTTGCCGCCCAGCCGCCGCCGCGCCTGGCCGTGCCTCTCCCTCGGGTTCCTCTTTCTCCTTTCTGCGGGGCCCTGCAGTGAGAACCGAGGGGACGGCGGATCCCCCTGCCCCCCCGACATCACCCCGGGGCGCCGGTCGCTCCCTTGCCCCGTACGCTGGTACCCTCTGAGCGTGGGACGTCCCGCTTTTAGCCGCCTTTTTCTCCCCCCGCCCGCCTCCCCCGCACTGTTGTGAGTTGCGTGCCTGAAAGCCTCCCTCCATCCCTGCTTCGGAGCAGGGCACCCGCGCCGCTGCCAGCATCGTTACCGTCTGTGTGCAGGGAACAGGGAGGAGAGGAAGAAGCGGGATGTGACTTAAGGTGTTGAATCAAGTCATTCGGTAAAACAAGAAAAACCGGAGAGCAAGCTGTGGGAGAAAAGGTAGAATCAGAGGGTGAGGGCACGTTGTAGGACGATTGTGCGATGTAGCTGGTGTGATTATAGAGGTGCAGTTTGTTTTCAGGGTGTTGCAAGTCCGATCTCCAAATTCGATTTATTGGGAGGTCTTAATCTTGTTGCCGTGAGAAATTGCACGGAACTCCCACTTAGATTTCCCTTGTCCAGAGTATCGTGAAAAGAAAAAAAAAAAAAAAGTAATTCCAACAAACTTAAATGGGCTGGGACAGTGGTTTTTTCCTAACTGTGCCTTGATTCCAGCTGTTTCTGTTGAGTTCTGGTGGAAGGATTCGAAATGTGGCAGTTTCATAAAATCATTCGCTCATTTTATTGTTTGAGCATGGGGGAGTATGCAGTGTACCTGACAAAACAGAAAACACACTCAGTATCCTGAAGATTATATAGCTTGTTTGCTTAACTGCAGTAGGATAGGAGTTGGGGTCCTAAATAGGTAAGGGTAGAGGAGAGGAGAGTGACAAGGCAGGTGACAGTAATCATTCTTGTTCTCTTCCTTCTCCCTGAGATGTAGCGAGACTCCAGAATTGAGTTTCTGAAAGGGATTTTTTTTTTCTTTGTAAGGTGAGGGTTATGGCTTACAGTATGGTCGTTGTTTATATATAATGTGTAGAGTCTGTGTGTATTGTGTTTGCATTTATGTGTTCAAAAGCCCCAGAAAGAGAAAATATGAGAACAGTGAACAGCATATGAAGACAGGCAGGCAGGAGGGGAACACGGTAAAATTGGATCAAAACCACAGACAGCAATACTGACAGTTGGGCTTGGGAGGCAAACAAAAAGCAAGAATTGCACTTAGAGCACCGTGGGGTTTCAACGAAGGGATTCATGGAGAGGGGATTATACTGTCAAAGCAGTTTCATTTTCTTTTTCCTTGAATAGCAAAATAGAGAAGTTGTGCAAATGTCAGATACTTGAAAAGAAACGGGGGAAGGAATAGCAAGGTTGAGGGCACACTGATATTGGACAGAAAGGAAAGGGTGTGAATTGTAGAAGCACCAGAACTTGACCGCAACCTTGATGCTGGGGTAGGAGTGGCGAGTGGCACATGACCTCCTGGGCTGCAGACTTGCACGATAAGAAGGAGGATGTGTGAATAGGGCACAACGGTATGGGAGAAAGATAAGGACTTCAGTTTTGTAGTCTAGTATCCCCGATCTGTTATTTGTCACTGTAACTACGTGTGAATACAGAATGGAGAGAGGTGGAGTGACAGAATGCAGGAAATGCTGTGTTAGTAATGACTGTTTAGCAAATAGTACTTGGGTTGTGGAACCAATTTAAATTGTTGTGAGAAACAACATAGCTCTGGCAATGAGCATTTGATGACAGCTTTAGGTAGGCTATATATTAAACTTCTACGTAGCATGTTTGGTCTATACTGATTTCTGCTGCATGTGCATAACAGCTAGAGTTTTATGGGACAAAAGCATTACTATATCTAGTTTATAACTTCTCATACTATGTTATGGAATCTAAGTGCAAATTTTACTTACAGTAAATAATTTTCCATATCGTCATGTGTAGAGCAGATCTTTAACTGTGTATTGGTGATACTGTGGATGTGAAAGGGAGACTGGGTATTTTGGTATCTTGCAATGGGGGCGGGAGAATGGTTTGGATTTTTGGTGTAAAGGATGGAGTGTTTTTATTGCTTCCAGTTGACGGCCATTGGAAGAGAAGCTCATACGCAGCTGCCCTGTTAGTTCTTGGAAGCTGTGGGGTTGTGCCGGTGGCCATCTCCTGTGATAGACAAGAAACATATTGATGATGACAGTATCAGAAAAATTAAAAATACCCCTTTGTCATTGCTGATAATTTTGGGGTTAATTATGTAGTAATAAAATTATCTGTATGCTAAAGAGTAATTTCTGGAGTAAAAGTTCTTTGAAGCCTGTTTCTACAACTGGCAGTGGTAGGAAAGGCGTTTGCAAGAAGCATACTCGGGAGGTCCCAGATTTTGATGTGACTTTACTGAGGATTGCATAAGTTTATGTTTCTTTGGTAATTCGTTGTAGAGCCAAGAGCTTATTTTTAAATGTTGTGTTTAGGCTGATACTATTAAAAATGTTTTTCAGCATTACTAGTTACAATTTAGAAAGAGCTGCATGCTTCTGCTTTGGTTATAACTCTTCCCGTTAAATTTAATTGAAGCAATAAAAGTCCAATAATATTTTCATCACTTGTGTAATAACAAGGGTTTTTTTGTAATTTTCACTGCAAAGTCATAATTTCAGGATTATTCTTATAAATGTTTAAGAGTTTATGTATGTATTCTTATCTGAAAAGGACCTAGACCACTTGAGGCAATGCAGATTTTCAGGATAACATAAAATTTTTGTGGTCTATTGTGGTAGTAAAAGTTCATATAGCATTTATTTTTTGCAAGTTTAGTAAGAATTTTAGAATCAAACTTATTTGAAATGAGGTATTGTAGTTTGACTTAATGTATATAAAAACAGTGAAATAGAAGTGAAATCTATTCTCTAGCAATTTTTGTTTCCCAGAATAATCCTGAATCATTCTCAAAAATAAACAGGAGCAGAACTTCCACAAACATGTTTTGGAGCAGTCTGTGTGTTTCAGATCACACGCCAACCATCATAAGTGGATTTGCTTTTTAGACTGTGGCAGAGTATTTTTTTTTTTTTTTGTTACAGATGTGGTATCCAGGTGTATTTTGGTGTAACAGATATATTCTTTGGCATGGGTTGTTTGTTTTAAGCCAGTTCCTACCACTCTCTCCAGTCCCTCCACCAGAAGGGTGAAAAAAATAAGAAGTAATTGCGAGTTATGTATAAACAACTTACAGTCCTGGAAAGCTGCAAGGATTTGTCTCTTGAAACTGTCTACTGTTGTAAGGAACAAACTAGATTATACATTTGATAGCTTCAGATAGCCTGAACACCTAACATGCATTTTTTTTCTTCTATATTTTTTCTTTTTTTTTGTCTTGGAGCAGTGGGAAGTGCATCTGTTTAACTGGAAAATGTGGTGTTTCCTGGGCACGTATTGTGAGAGCCTGTAATAGGCAGTGTTGTTAGTACCCTGCTAGACACAGACGTGGGTTTATCTCCTACTCTCCATCCGCATCAGCTGGTTCAGTGTGCTGCACTCTTTCATAAACAATGTGATTTTCAGATCTAAAGCCCCCTAGTCTGTCCTGGGATGTATCGCTGTTCCTAGTACATAGCTTAATAATTCATGACAATACAGAATTAGGGCTACAGGCCCACAAGGAAACTTGGACTAGCTTTGTTTTCCCCAAAGGGCTACCAAGAGGTATTTCTCTGTTGCTAAAGCTGTAAAAGTGGTATGCCATCCATGAACGCTTCAGGTTTGTCTTTGAAGCGTGGATTTTCTTTTCAGAGCTTTGTTTTAATTTCAGGGTTTCTTCTAATCTGTCAGCTTGTTGTGGTGTGAAAAATGGGCAATAATTTGCTCCGAACTTACTGTAAAGTTCTAAACTCAAAAGTGGGTGGTATTTAACATCGTTACTTTGAAGGAATGTTACTAATGCCAGTTGTGTGCTTAAGGAAAAGCTCGTGTTTCTATTGGAGCTGGTGTGGCTAAAGAGGGGAAGAAG